CCCCCTCACCACCTTTCTTTCTCCTCCGTACGCATGAAATTTTCGTTGAGATAGCACCAATTTCATCAAATTGTTTGGCCGTCACACGGATACCACCCCCGTTCTGGAGCCGAACCGCCAACTGACCCTCCTAACCATCCCGAAATAAAGGCAGCTGGCAAACTAATCAGGTGAACTGAACAAGTTAATAAGTTTCTTCGTACCGAGCTTATCTGGGCTTAGGAGGCCTACACCAAGCAAGCCAGTGCCCACCGCCAACCACACCCCGCGTATCGGATCGGGGACCGAGTCTATGTTAATGCTAAGCATTTCCGCCTCCAGCGAGAGTCCCAGTCTCTAGCTCCAAAGGCCTTAGGGCCCTGGGCCATTACCCGAATTATTGACGGTAAAGCTTACGAGATCGCTCTACCTAATTACATACTTGCTGCTAGTATCACGTTTGTGTTCCATCCCTCTAAGCGTCATCTAATGGTAGGTGCGGGAGATTGTTGACAGCAGACAGACCAGATATGGAGTGCAGTGCAAAGCTCTATTCGAGGGAGCATGGGATGATTGGAATGCCAACCCGCCATGGCAACCCTGGGAGGGCTTTAAGAAGCAAGGGACATGATTGCTAACCTCCACGCTCGATGTCAGGGCCTAGGTCGAACCCTGCCTGAGGCACCAAGACTGCTTTATTCACTGTTGATCCCACAATGTAGAGATTTCCCACATTCCTGTACGATAGAATTCTTTCTTTCTCCTTCCTTCTCTATGTTTGATGTTTCGTTAGATCGCCACATTAGATAGAATCCATCCATTTTACCAAGGTGTATAGGATCATCACATCTTGGGCTGAAAACCATGAAGTTTGGGGCTTTTCCTTTAAAAATTACAAGAGGTCGAATTGTTGCTCCGGATGCTGAGATAGTCCACTACAGTAACCCATTCCCTAGATCCGGGAGATTGCACATAAGTATACTTTCTTCCAGCTTTTCCAACTACCCGGGAGTTTGTACATACTCCTAATCCAATTCCATGCTCGTCCATATTCCATATATTCTCTGGTTGGATGTTGTATTTGGTTTTGATGGCAGAAAAGATGTTATAAAAGGCTTTGACTTGATCTGGCTGTGTATTTTGAATCCGGGGGGCATCTATTCGCCTTCCAACCATAGAGGCAACTTGTGGATTTCTTTTAATAAATTTAGATACCCATTCCTTCCCAAGAGTTTTATCTCCAAGCATGTGTAGAATTCGGTGGGCCATCTTCCACACACGGGTAAACAAGGGAGGAAATCCTTGTTGATCCTGATCAATTATCCATTGAACAAGAAATTCCTCTTGTATAGGGCTTAGCCTTTGTTGATGGTGGTGGCTTTGCTGCTTATTTTTGTGTCCGGCAAGTCTTCGAAGAAGGGTAGTTTTAGGAATATTATATGCCTTAGAGGCAGCAGTAATTGAAGAATAAATACCATTTTCAAGATCTCTAAGTGCTAGAGATATATTTTCTTCATTTGGACGCATTTTTATGGATGGTGGTGCTGATGGTCAGGCTGGTTTTCCATACACTAATACCCGTTTCCATCCATACTCGGTATGGATTAATATTATGGACAGTCCATTCTAATACCTAGTCCATACCCAACCGCAATGCTTGGCATTACTTTGTAGGCTTGGTTATTGTTTGAATACTGGGGGGGTCTGAAGTGATTGTATTCAGAAGGATCTTCAGCCCAACCCCTCTATGAGAGATATTGGGTATATATTTCACATGATGTCCCAAACTGGATTAGTTATTCTGACGGAACTTGGAACTTGGAAGCATGAAGGAATCTGGGATGATTCCGGGGGGGATTCGGGGGTACGGAGGCGCCCGCCCAGATGTTGACTAAGGCACTGCAGACCCGGCGCCTGGAGCAGGGATAGCAGGGATATCCCGACGTTCCAACATATTCGAGGGCCAATGGCTGCCTCAGTACAAGGTGTTCCGATGCCGGGAGGCCTGAGGCAGTGAGGCAAGCCAATGGGGCCCATGCCTGTATATCACTTGGCTTCGCCTTCGCCGCAATCGGCGCATATGATTGGTCCACTTATGGCGATCACAAGTATGAGAGCCCACACTTCTTCCCTTTTTACTGTACCCTTTACTTTCTTCCTCCCAGTGGTTCCTCCTTGTGTATACAGTATCTAGTCGTTAGATAGTAAGGCAGTTAGCCCCTTTACACATGCGGGGTTTTTAACCCCTAAGTCTTCCCCCTTTCCCTGTAATTACTCAGACAAGATACTGCTCAATCCATGTCTTGTCTTCTTTTAGATGCTATCTTTCCCTGAATTTATAACGGAGGAAGGGGAGGGATCTATACAGTAAAACACAAGATAAATGGCCTGTTGGAACATGTGAAACACTACGTTATTTAAGGTTTGAATTGGAATATCATAAAATATGCCGTTTTGCGTACTAATTTACCATTGGATAAATTTAACACCTTGCCTCTGCATTAGCACTAATAGTGCCCTAGGTGGATACGGAGCAACAGTATTAGAGAAACCCCCACACCATGGCTGGCAAGAAGAGCAATAGACCGTCCAAACAATAACGCATAGATCAGCGGCTAAAAAGCAGAGTAGTTGGCAAGGTTGTTGCACTGACAATAATGTAGAAGGGGATAAGACCTTGTACTGTAACCAGTGCAATATCCCCCCATTTACCGAGATCAATGATGGGGTGGCTTTTCCACATCATCGAGTAGGATGATGTTCAGCTGAAGAATTAGCAAACAAAGGTTGAAGCAAGAAAGAGCAAAAACACATAGGAGATAAAGCGGCTAGAGAAATATGTATTGTAGATCAGTGTTAAGCCGGATCTAATGGTCGCCGTGCCTTCCTATAAGCGAATTCATATTAACAAAGTAGGTAGGAGGTTGACTACCAGCCTTTATATGCAAGTAGGTTGTGGACCTAGCTATTACTTACCAGCTCATGTACCATACGCATTCGCCTTTCCAGGCTTGCTGGCATGCCACTGATTGTCATCCAGGTTCCATGTTTTGCGCGGTTGAGCGAGGAGGGGCGATCCATTCATTTATTACTCATATTGCACATTATTGTACGAAACACCACGTTCGTTGTCGTGGCGATCAGGACAACTCCTAGTGCAGTTGTTAATGTCTGGCTATATTTCCATAGAATATGCCGTACTGTACCTTCTAACTCAAACTCACCTTCGAAAGCGTCAAAAGCGTGCCATTATGGTAAGCTAGATCTTAACCTTTTAATCGTCAGCTGATTTTCTCTGCTCCAAAGTAATCTGCAGCTTTTAATGTGATAGTTTGATGCGCATTAACGCTCGGGCTAACTGCCTTTAAATGCTGGAACCTTTTCTTATCGTTAACTTAATGGTGATATCACTCTGAATTGGTTCCAGCCCAATCTTTATTAGCCAATTTTAGGCTAACCGATAGGGTGTCAAATTGCGCTGGAAATTCCCTAGCCCGAAGGCAATGGCTCGGGGGCCTTTCGGCGCGTTTCATGGCAGCTGACGGTGCTGAAAAGGATGTGCCCAAAGATTGCGAATTTTTATCTGGAAATGGAGGATGGACAGCAGGTATTTTCTGTGATATTTTAAAAGCATCCCGTTGTACGTCCATTTGCATTGGGGCTTTATCTTGGGCTGACACCATGGCAAGGGACAAGATCCCTTTTTAGGCCAGTTAGCCTTGAATACCAGTAATTATTCTTTTAAACGAAAGGCTCTTACAGAGAACGAAATGTAGAGGCTTCATTTTGAACTCCCACGTGGTGGAGGAGAAGTTGTAAAGTCTAGAATTAAAAGACGCAAGGCACTTCTGCTCTAGGTGACTTCTGTCTAGAAAGGCATGATAATTTTCTACTGTACTACAGAGCGGGTTATATTTATATTCCTTTCTGTGCCCCTTCTGCATTGCAAAAGAACTGTAAACTTGGTTATCCACCTATTATTCCCTAAAGCCTCAGGTCTACGGAATAACCGCTACAAATATTTGGCCAGGCCACCACTGTGGAGCCGCGAGATACCTGTAACTTGCCAAGTAGTACTCCATAGGGAGCAAACATCTTAACAATTACATACTATTACTGTAGCCTGGGTGCTAAGTTATCACAACAATCGTGGCAGTCCAGAACGTTCTGTATTATTTGGCAAGTAAACAAGCTGGGTGAAGACCATGCTTGGCCAAGGGCTTGGGAAACTTTGGGACTGCTCCACAGGACTGTGTACACAACATAGTTGGGGTGAGGGTATAAAATGTATAAATCACATAACTCCACTTTAAATTTAGCTTGACTCTTGGTTTCATTAGCCTTGGTACAAATTTATGATAACTATATAGGCGTAAGATCCAAAATCTAAGACGAATAAAATAGTATCTGTCTTAGTCTGCGTTTAATTGGCCTTGGCACAAATGTTATGACAACTACATCGACAGACATGAGATCTGAAATCCAAGTGAGACGAATAAAACATTATCTGCCTTGGTCTGCGTTTAATTGGTCTTGGCACAAATGTTATGACAACTACATATAGATAGACATGAGATCTGAAATCCAAGTGAGACGAATAAAACATTATCCATCTTGGTCTGCGTTTAATTAGCCTTAGCGATGTCTTCACGGCAATTCAAATTAATTGTATTGGTGTGTGTGAGTATTTGAGTGTAATATTTGTTTACAAATTTTACCTTAATGCACGCATCTATCGGCCTTGGCTGTTAATATCTGGTGGGCCCAGAATCGCCAGAATTTTCCAAGGACCAGGAGTATAATGGACGCCAAGAGCATTACGTAACATCCAAATGTATTCTATTAAAAGTAGATTCCTCATCTGCGTATAAAAAACCCCTAAACCTCCGGATGATAGGATCAGGTTCGTCTATCTGTTAATTCAGTCTTTGGCTCGGCACAACCCCGCTGAATCGTTAGCTGAATCGTTAATCTACTAGTTTCATTGGCGTCGACATTGTATTTGGTTTTACAATTCAACCATGAAGCCTTTTGTTGGAATCCAAGCTGCACTCCTCGCGCTGGCGGTCCAGATTACTGCCGCCGCTCCTCATCCCCCCCCAGAAGATGCACGACTGACGGAGTCCACTGGACTCTTATCGTATGAACCTGCTGTAGCTAGTATGTTGTATACAGATACAGCTGTACCGGTAAGGACCAAATTACTCAGTGACCTATTGTACATAAAATCCTTACTATATATTGAGCAGGAAGTGCCACATGGAAGCCCAGAAAAACGTTCTACTTCTAAGGTCGCTGTTAACCCATACTACAAAGGTAAAGGGATTGCTATTGATCTCCCTGCCGATTGCCCAGTCCCAGATGCTTCTTGGTGGACAAATGAGGAATTAAGAGAAGAAGAAATAAAGAAGGATTCTAAAGAGACGGCTAACCCGCTTAAGGTGAGGTTTATCCGGGATTATACTTTGATAGAGACCCCTGGTTAACTGAAATAGGAGTTCCTCGATGTCATAGAAGCACCGTTCGAGGTCGTGGAAGAAACGGTAAAGACGTTTCTACAGGGAATAATGACTTAGCCAAGGGCAACACCTGTGAAGGGGTGTCGAGACGTTAATGCCGGTTTACACGCAATGGTCAAAGAATTATAAGGTATCGGATGAGACTGGTTCAAATCTTTCTAAGAATCGGAGCGAAATAACCAATTCTTAAACTACCCAGTATACGAGAAGGATGGAAGTTCCTGAACACACGTGGAAGACATTCCAGTGTAGGCTGTGGTTAAAACAGTCGGGAAGGCAGAGGGTTGGACCTACGAGCATTGGTGCCCAAGTCTATAAGGGATTCCTGCAAACTTGTGCCGATGACGGCATAGGCATCCGGCTCAAAATCCCTTGGATTTTTATTGGCCCTAGGCATCGATACAATAGAGCACCCAACCATTCTCGATTTCTGTTGGCCATTCCAGGAGTGGGAGAGTTTGCTGAAGCTGCCAAGGCTGCCGAAGAAGGCATAAATTCGCAGAAAAGCAGCCAGACTGCAGAAGTTAGCCATATTCAGGAAGATGAGCCTGGCCGAAATTAAGCAATCGCAAATGCAGATAAAGAGATCTGCAGCAATGCGCAGAGCTGCCGCTAACTCAGCCAAAGGACCGAATAGAAGCCAAAGCTTTGAGCAAGCAGTTAAAGCTGACAAGCATCTAAGGCTGCGGACAAAGAATTATGAGAGTGGAGAAGCCAAGAAGCTTTGCCGACGTGGACCGTTGTGTCTTGGTCTGCACGGGCGAAAATGCTCGGCGAAGAAGCTCCCGGAGAAGGTGCTAACCGGAGCCAGGCACGCCGAAACAGGAAGGAGAGAAGGACCAGGCGCATGAATAAGAAGCAGAGACGGGTCAGAGACATCTGGCAAGCCCCAGGGCAGAACAAACCCACGGAGATGGCTACGAGAACACGGCAACAACCCACGGAGATGGCCAGGAACACGGACAAAACCCACTGGAGATGGTAGAGAACACGGCTTCAACCCCACTGGAGATGGCTAGAGAACACCAAAACCCCACTGAACTTCTATAAGTAGCCTGCTGAGAAGGTTGCTTTCATCGGTTTATTGTGGGAACATACCGACCCAAACCACTACTCGCCCGCTCCTCGCACCGAGCTACATTGATGAGCTAGAAAAGACGGGACGCAGGAATTGAGCTCCGGCAAGCGATTTCCTCAAGGAAAATGGCTTGATAACATTATTAGCCTAAATTCGAACGTTTGTCAAAGCGGAGGAGACCTCCTGAAGAACGGGGAATAGTTATACCCATCTTCCTGTTAAGGACTTCCATCCTCCTACACTTGATGATTTACGTACAGGGGTGGCTGAATACAATAATCATGAGCTACACTTGTCTGGTGTGGCTTTGGGCATGGAAGGACAGGAACAATGATTAGTGCAATCCAGATCGAAGTCAACGCTAAGAGTGGGTTAGAAAGGTTAACAGAAGACCTCTTCAAGAAGAACCACGTTGAGAAAGAGAGCCAATTCAAAATTCTTGAAAAGTTCCAGGAGAAACTGTTCAGAGGCGGACGTGTATTTCAAAAGTCATGAGCAGGCACTGTGACGGATATCTGCCAAATGATATGGCCGTGGGTGGGTGTTAGGGACCTACTATATTCGGTATGGTCACGTGGCCTCACTTAGTCACCCATCTAGATAACTAGTTAGCTCGCCCGAGCCCCCTGAATTGAAGAGAATTGCGCCTCGCGGAGAGATTCACTCTACTGTACGATTCAATAACCACGACAGACCCAGATAGAATAGAACGGCGCCTGATTGTCGGGTGATTGTCGAGTTTCCCTACGATATAAAATTGTCGAAATTGTGTACCGAGCGGGACCAACCCGGACCGATGGCGGACCCACCCATGGGAGGACCCGAACCCCATCCCACCACACCCATGATACCAACGCCAGCTTCTCAGCCGAGAACTTCCAGCCTCGGGTTCCAATCGAACCACTTCCTGAGTCCCCCAAAAAAACACGGAGCGGTGACACCTTCACGCCATCAGAAAGCACGGGTCGGGTTAATACCCGAGAGGTGTAGAGACTCGTCAGCACCCTGAAAGATATTATCAATCACCAATCCAGACTTATCGAATCCACCAAGGTGGAAATCCTAGAGGTCAAGCACGATCAGAATATCCTCCACGATCAGAATGGAAAGCTCCGTGACGAAATTAGAGCTCTGAGAGAGCAAATTGAAACCCTGACGCCGGTGGCCCCAGCCAGGCCATGGGCTGAGGTGGCGGCCACCGCCAACAATAGCTCCCTCCAGCCAAGCCACCAACGACCCGAGAAAGAACAGAATTGCGTCTGAATCAGCACCCAAAGATCTTTTGTGGACCCAAGAGATAACGATAATAGTGACGGAAACACCTTCGGGTGTATCTCTCCACTGATGCTGCCAACACCTACATCCGCACTGCGCTGCTAAACACCGCCACGCAAGACGCCGAGGTCGCAGGCATTGGGACTACCAAGACGGGTTATGTTATTCGTTTCAAACAATAGCCACCGATAATCCGTCGCACATATACTCACTCTTTTACTCGGACATCAGGTGTCGGCCGAAGCGGCTCGCCATAATACGGGATGGCTGAACGAACTAGGGAACAGTACGAAAATAGTGAAACCAGGTTCAGCGTCGTTGTCCACCGCACCCCAACAGAGGATTTCGAATTGGAGAATGCAAGCGCTCAGGCGATTGAGAAAATCATAGAAGGAAACAATCTGGTGGAACATGGCTTCCAGATCGAAGAGGTGGCATGGCTTAAGCAGAAGGACAAGACGTTAGGGAAATTTGCATCGCTCGGTATCTGGTTCGACACTGCGGAAGGAGCCGAATATATCTTAAATAATGGCCTCCTAGTCGGCCAGAGGTACGTTGGCAGCGTGGAGCGCCGAGAGATCAAGAAAAAGAGATACTTCTAGTGCCAACGTTTCGGACACCTAGCATGGTCGTGCAAGGAAACACCACGGTGTGGACACTGTGCCGGCCAACACGAGCGGCAAGATGCCCCCCAGGGGTTAGAGCCCGATGCTCGATGCAGGGAACACCCAACGGGATCGACAGTGCCCAACCCCGCACTTCCAACCCCTATTAATGTTAGAGACGAACCTACGCATACTACAGTTGAATATTATAAATCAGGACCTAGGATGGAAGCACTCATCAACGACCACCAAAGCCAAAACCTGGATATCTCTTAATCCAGGAACCGTCTATACTACCTATAAACACATGTAATCACAGCGCCTGGCGCCTATATCACCGACCATCAGACTGACGCAGTTCGGTTTCGTACCTTCTATGTTAATGAAATCCACCTCTCACATCGGCAGATCCCTGCGACCACCCGACTTAACCGCAATCAAAATCTGGATGGCAGACTCCCAGATGCTTCTCTTTTCAGTTTACTCCACCCGTCCCATATTACCCCAACAAGGGCGCAACAGCACTACGCAATCCAGAACACAATAACCACTCTCTCCGGGACAATTATAGATCAACGAGCGTAGTCTCGCGGGAGACTTTAACCGCACCACCCGACTGGGGGGAACCACATTCAGCCGCAGTTTACTGAGGACGCAAGCGAATTAATTAATTTTTTCCAGGCGAACAGCCTACACGGCTGTCCCCCGAGGAACGGCAACCTTCTGGTCTCTCAGCACCAGGGAGGACTCCACCATCGACCAGACGTAACAAACCGGCCAGATCTACTATCAAGTGCCACTCTACCACGACAACTACGGTCAGATACCGTGCCACTATTGGATGAACCTAGACCCAGCGTAACCTCGAAAGGCGAAGAAGGCCTTTAACCGCGCAGACTGGGGAGATCGCTAGTGAGGTGCTTCAACAGATGGGTCGTGGAAAGAGGTGAAAACCAGACCGGCGCTAGACAAGGTAGTGGAAAGGTTCACGAAGAACGCAGCGGCAGGGAAGACAACCCCTAACCTACACCAACACCATATTCCAAGCGCTGGTTCACGCCAGATCTAAAATCCACAGACCGAGGTTAATAATCACGCCGGAAGTGGCAAGAGAGCTGTGCAGAGCTCGGGCAAAAGCATGCTCGCTCAGCGTCCCTCTTTACGAGGTGCAACAAAAATGACGCGCATGGACTCGAATAATTAAGAAAGCCAAAGCATTACATTGGAATCAGTTCCTGGACAAAACCGGGGAAGGGAAGCTCTGGAAAGCGGCCACATGCATGAAACCACGAGAGGCCTGGGGGAGCATCTCGACCTTGCACGTGGATACAGACCAGCTCACAGAGAATAAAGACAAGGCGCAGGCTTTCCTAGACGCTTTCTTCCCGAAGATGGACGAACCCCACAAGGATCCGCTAAACCAGCCATCTCTGGAACTCCCGTGACAACCTATTACCGAGCTAGAGATCCAACGATCCCTCAACCCCGCAAAAGGCTCTACAGCACCTGGCGAGGACGGCCTACCAACGCTCGTATGGAAGCACCTTTGGAAGTTTTTTAAGAAGATTATTACCAAAATTTTCACCACGTCCATCAACCTAGGATACCACCCAAAGCGATGGCGGAGTGCGAAGATCGTGGTGCTGCGGAAACCTGGAAAACCAGACTATTCAATTCCCAGAGCCTATTACCCGATTTCACTCCTTAACACACTTGGCAAACTACTTAAAGCTGTTATGGCTCGACGACTATCGTATCTCGCCGAAAAACATGGTCTGCTACCAGACACGCAATTCGGACGACCAGGCAGAACAACTGAATAGGCCCTGCTAGTTCTTGCCAATGCAATTGACCGAGCGTGGTATAAATGCAAGGTTGTGACGCTTATCGCGTTCGACCTAAAAGGAGCCTTCAACAGAGTCAACAAAGTTAGCCTGGACGTCCGCCTCCAGGCAAGAAGGATACCAGCGGTGGCACGAAAGTGGATCGCGAGCTTTATGAGCGACCGCCACGCAAGCATAGGGTTCGACGACTTCCGCACAGAGGTAACACCACTGGCAAATGCTGGATTAGCACAAGGCTCACCCCTCTCCCCTATT